CACACACACACACACACACACAGTGCTTTGGTTATTCTATGTTTCGCTGCCTATTTGGTATCTGTAAGTAGAGTTTTAGACTCTTAGTTTATTATAATGCAGTATATACCTTTTGACATCCTTAAGACTCGATTCCTACTTACATAACAAAAAGATAAATATGAAAAAAGATAAATAAGAACTGATAAATGGGCAAAGGACTTGAACAGATACTTCTCCAAATAACATCTTTAAATAATGAACCAACACAACAGAAGCTAGGCAGCGTTGGTAAGAAGTACATGTTAAGGGCTTGGTATGGTATCATGGCACACTTACTAGGATGACCATAATAAATACTTTCAAGGAAAATTAGAAGTGTGGTGGTGGTGATGTGTAGAAATAGGAACCCTCAGCTATTGCCTGAAGGAATGTAGAATTGCATGATTGCTGTGAAAAGTAATTCAGCAGGTATGCAGTGAGTTCAGGGTTTTATGATATGAATGAGAAATTTTTCTAGCATCGCATCTGAAAGAACTAAATGCAACATTCACAAAAGTCATCTACAAATGTTCAGAGCAGCATGACTCACAGTAGTCTAGAGGGGAAAGCAGTGCAAGTCCATCAACAGACAGAGAGTAAAAAAATAGCATCTATCCCGTACAATGACTATTGTTCTGTCACAAAAAGGAACTGAGTACTGATAAATATCACAACATGGATGATTCTCATATTATTATTCCAAATGAAAGATGCCAGACACAAAAGACTGCATAGTATAATTTATATGTATATACAGAATATGCAAATCCATACAGATGGAAGCAGACTCATAGGTACCAAAGAGCGGGGGAAGAAGGAAGAGAGGGAGTGACTGCTTAATTTTAAGGGCTTCTTTTTTGGGGGGTGTTGAGACAGGGTTTCTCTGTGTAGCTTCAGCTGTCCTAGAACTCGCTCTGTAGACCAGGCTGGCCTCAGACTCAGAGATCTGCCTGCCTCTGCTTTCTGAGTGCTGGGATTAAAGGTGTAGCCACCATAGCCCAACCCTTTAAAGGATTCTTAGGTGATGAAAACATTTTAGAACCAGACAACAGGGACACCTGCACAATACTAGAAATGCATCACAGTTTAAATGGAAATTTAATGATGTATTTATTTTACCAGACTAAGACACCCTAACTGTGCAGAAATTTATGTCATAGGTTTATTTTTTTCTAGTGCCTTTTAAAGGAAGTATAGAAATTTCACTTTCCTGTGGGTGATCCTGCTTCACACATGCTGTCAGGCTTGTTCCCTCTGAACCATTTGGCCTTTCCTTTGAGAGCAGGTTCTATGCTTTTGCCTCCCATGTGTAAAGTCTTGACAGTTTTATAATCAGGCCTAACTGTGCACTGGTTGTAAACAGATGTCTAACAGTAGAAAGAGAAGTGAGGAGACGCCTTCACTACAATAAAGCAAGGATGCAAGGCATTCCCTATGAGGCCACTCACTGCCATGGTGGCTGCAAACATGCCCTATTTGTAAATTAAAAAGCCCTGGGATTTTACTTTTTGTTTTCTATTCTTTTGGTTATAGGAATAAGAGCATGAAATGAAAACATGAGTAATGGGTAGGAGAAAGAGATCAGAAAGTGAAAATCCTAGGCACTGGTAGTTAGTGGGAGCGATTGATGACTTTGCATTATAAATTGGTACTCCTACAGAATAAAAAGTCCATTTAGTTTAAGGTAATGACAAGAAATGTGCCAATATTATCTTTTCTGATTACAATAATCTTTAGACAGTTACTTTAAAGGCCTTCTTTAATTTTGAATAAATTAGTAGAGATTGGGTTTTTGACATAATTTAAGAAACAAATGGAAATGTCCCATTAAAACATCAGTACTAACTAGCATAGTACATTTTTATATTAACATGTGTCACTGTTTTAGATATAGTATGTTAAAATTCATACTTGGTGTGTTTTCTCTTGTTATTTTTATTATTTATGATTTTAGTCTAAGTGGTTAGAAATATTTCAGAGAAGGTAGTTGGCTGTTCCTTCTTTAGTAGTGTGGTAGTTTGAATGACAATGACCACGTTAGGCTCCTATATATGAATGGTTGATTCCCAGGTTGGAGAAACTGTTTGAGAAGGATGAGGATATGTGGCCTTGCTGGAAGAGGTGTGTCACTGGAGGTGGACTTTGAGGTTTCAAAAGCCAATGCTAGTCATTTCCAGTTAGTTTACTCTCTGCCTCCTGGTTGTGGATCAGATGTAAGCTCTCAACTGCTGCTCCAGCGCCATGCCTGCCTGCCTGCTGCCATGCTGCTTACCCTGCTGACCATGGAGTATAACTTTTGAGAAGCATGAGCCCTTAAATGAAATTCTTTCTTGGTCATAGTGTCTTCACAGCAATAGAAAAGTAACCAAGATAGTAGTTAATATAAAGAAACCAAAACTGGTAATGTCAAGTCAGAGATTAATTGGGTTTTATTAATAAGAATAGTGAGATCAGTTGAACATGGTGGTGCAGCACTCAAGACATAGAGGCAGGCAGAGCTCTATGAGTTCAAGACCAGTATGGACTATGTGGTACATTCAGGATCAACCCAGTGCACACAGTGACACCTTACCTTAGAAAAAACAAACAAGAATGGAACCAACACAGAATTATGAGGTAATTTCTGTATTGTTTTAGTCACATAACAACTGTGCTGTAGGCAAATATTTCCTGCAGATGTAACTTTCTAGAAAATGGAGAGAAATGTGTAACTACTATGTTTCACTTTCAGGTTTTTATTCCCTAACCAAATGAAATTTATATACTATACATGTGAAATACCATTCACAATCCACACAATAGCTGGCGTGTTTTATCTTTTAAAAAGCCTTTTTAGAATAGAAAAATAACATGTCCTAACCATGGAGAAGTTTTATAAATGTGAATGTTTTACCTTAATGTCTCTATGATTGCTAGGTATGTGTTGAAGCATAGCTGCTATTCAGGATGATTTACTGAGCTCAGGCAAGCTTGTTGTCATGCTTAGAGGCTGAGAGGAAGTAAAGGAAAAGAGGTGGTTGGTCAGTCAACAGAGACACTCAATGATTTAACATTCTAGACTTTGCACAATTCAAACAGAAAATTCCATTATTTTATGAATTTGCAGGAAGTACTATGTTTATGTTTGATTTCATACAATTTCCAAATGCATGCTTCAAAGCAAAACATTTGTAGCATCATTTAAAGCTTTCCTCTTTTCCAGGTTAGTTACTGAACAGAAGCAATGGGGGATATCAAAGAATCAGCATGTTTGCAGGCTGTTTGCATCTAGAGGCCTTTGTGCTTTACATTAATGCCATTTTGTGCTGCTTTCAGGCTATTTTAGATTCTGGGTTTGTTCTCTTTTCCCTGTAGTGTGTCTACAAGAAAGCAGCTGCCTTTGTGCTTCGAGCAGTTGGTAAACACTCCCCTCAGCTGGCGCAGGCCACAGTTGACTGTGGCGCCCTGGACTCTCTTGTAATATGCTTGGAAGATTTTGACCCTGGAGTCAAGGAAGCTGCAGCCTGGGCACTTGCATATATTGCAAGGCACAATGCAGGTACTGGGGTGTGTTTGAAAATAGGGTGACTCAAGTTTAGGTTTATTAGATAAAAACAGGTTTATTTAGTAGATCAATGGAGTTTTAAAGGTGTTGCTTGCTGGACATCATGAAAGGGCAGTTTTGAAGGATGTTTATACTGTTTGCCTCACGTATTTACAAAACACTTTACATTTGAGTCCCAACAGAAGGGGAATTTAAAGGAGGTGAGTTACTGGCAGAGTAGGATTGGCAATGGTACATGCCTGTAGGCCCAGCATTCAAGAAACAGAGGCAAGGAGAATTAACCAACCTGGGTTACACAGCCAGACACTATTTCAAAACCAAACCAAACCAAACCAAACCAAACCAAACCAAACCAAACCAAACCAAACCAAACCAAACCAAATCAAGCCAGGTAGAACAAAACAAAACAAAAAACAAAAAAGTTCAACCAATCAACCAGGTAAGTTTCTTCTTGGTAACTGGTCAGCTACAGAGCTCATTGTCATTCATGACAGGACATTCTAAGCCAATGTGAAAAGATGACATAAATTTGTAGAAAATGTTTTATTCCCTTATGTTAGCAGGAAGGAGGAGGAAGAAAATAAAGGCAACATCCTTCTATAAACTGACTTCTTGGTGAAGACATCAGGATGGTGGTCTCCCCAGAGAAGGCTGTGCAGACACATGATTGATAAATGATAAATGGGGAATGGACTTACTCCATCTCTGTAGAAGTTGCTAAAGAACAAATGACAAATGACATATGAAAACGATTAGCTTTGCTAGGAACCAACAAACCACATACTGAAACAGGACAGCCATCTGCTGACAGGGGAGGGGGAACATGAGGACTGCCACATGCTAGGCTCTGAATTCCATCCAGTCTCAAACACTTAGCTGCGTTATGACCTCAGCCACAGCTCTGGGACTTCTGAACAGAGGGCAGTTAGCAGTCATACCCCAGGTTTGTAATAAGGGCGCTGAAATTAGAAGTAAAGAGCTCCAATCAGCTTTTGGCATGTACCTGGTGAATACAAGGTGTCAATATTAGTGTTAAATATTGGGAAGGACATTATAACACCAATGGTGTTTAGCCAGGTGTAGTGGCATTGCCCATAGGCCTAGCTACTTGGAGGATGAGGGAATGAAAGTCTGAGGCCACCCTACACTACAGAGTAAAGCTGGAATCTTAAAAAACAAACAAACAAAAAAATAGTAAAGCAAAACAAAATGACATTTATGATATTGGAGGATGAAGTAAATTATATAAACTATGTAAAGCAGTTTGTCAAAATTAGTGGACATCGGGGAGAGATCAGGCTTACCCCAGACACCTGCTTTAGAAATGGGTCCTGAAAAAAGACAGTTACTGAATGAAAAAGCTATATTTGTGGAAATTTATTGTAACATTATTTATAGAATCAAATGCCTCAGATATTTGACAGAACTTGAGTGGTTAAATTATAATAATCCATTTAATGAAATCTCATGCAACAAAGTAAAAGGTAATTAGAGTCCTTACATGTTAATGAGGAAAAGAAATTAAATACTAAAAAGGAGAAAGTTGTAAATTATGGTTACAATACTGTCAAATGAGCTTTCCTATGGATTAGATTATAAAATGCACATTGCATTACCACGCTGGTAGAATTAAAGATGCTTCTTTTCACTTCTATATTCTCCAGTTGTATAGAGAAGAGCAGCTGCCCTGTAACGAGTGAGTCATTGTTGCGAGGCTGGCTCTGTGCCCTGCAGTTCTTATCCATTATCTCATTTTGATTGCAGCCACCCTTAGGTGTTTCTCTCCCTGTTTGATGAGAAAAGTGTATCTTAGACAAGAGACCTACGTGATGTGAACAGTGGCATCAGAATCGGGGTCTCAATCTGTCTACTCCCAAGAGCATGTTAGCTGCTGCACCAGACAGCTGGCTGGCCACTTCCTGGCAGGACTGGAGGAAACCCACAGAGGCAGGCAGATCCTCTCTCACATTATAGCTGGTTCTTAAAATGGGGACACCACTAGTGACAGAACAGAAATAGAACATCAGGAAACTAGTTGAAAAAGAAAATTCTTGTCATGTTTAGAAAGATTCATATTAAAGTTAATTTCCATTCCATTGTGTCTGGAGCTTGTCATATAATGTGTTGAGAGAACTCAATCAGAAGCCGGAAGCTTCACAATTGGATTTGGTAGGCTCCGATAAGGCAGAGGACAGGTCTACACTGTGGTGGGTCTCTCTGAATAGTGCATGGAAGCTCTCTGGGACAGCCACACAATGGTGGGCATGTGCCAGAGATGTCCCCATCTTCCTTTTATTGGCCAGTCTGAGAAATATTACTGTAGTTCATAAGTAGGATCCAACTTAGGGTTCATATTCCACTCCCTTTCTTCTTCTTCTTTTACACTTCAGTATCAAATATATCTTATGTACTTATCTTCCACTTCAAACAAAAAGTCCTTGATGGAATCAGAATTTGAAAGATGGTTAACTTTATATTATTTCATAACCCATGTCCGGCACCTGCATCAGCCCTTCTTCACCATTCACATTTAGCATTTCTTTTCCCCTTTCCTATATGTTATACTGTACCTAAGTGTATATTTACTTACATATATACATATATTATAGGTTCCACATAAGAGAGCAAACACACTATTTCTGAGTTTGTGTGACCTCACTTAATATTATAAAAGTCCATTAATTTTTCTGCATTTTTTAAATTAATTTTTCCTTAGAGCCAAGTATTACTACACACACACACACACACACACACACACACACACACACACACACACACACACTGTATATTACATATATACCAAATCTTCATTATCCATTCTTTTGTTGGTGGACAACTAGGTTGGTTTCAATTCTTTGCTATAGAGAATAAAATGGCAATTAATATAGGGGTGCAAATATCCCTATGGTAGGTAGGTTATGAGTTCTTGGATATATGCCCAGAAATGAAATAGCTGGGTCATATGGCAATCCCTTTTTTAATTTTTTGAGAAATCTCCAATTTCCTCAATGGCTGTATTAATTTGCACCTCCACCGACAGTAAATAGCGCTCCTTTCTCGCCACATCCTCTCCTACTTGGCTGTCAGTTCTGACAATAGCCATTCTGACTGGGATGTCAAGTAGTTTTAACCTGCATTTCTCTGAAGAAGGAGGATACTAAATACTTTTAAAAATAGTTATTGACCATTGTGTTTATTTTAAAGAAGCTATTAGTTCATTTTCCCATTTATTGGTGGGCAGTTTTATTTCCTTTGTTTATCTCTGCAATTCTTTGTAAATTCTGGGTATCACTCCCTGCACGAAGTGGGGCTGGTAAAGTATTTCTCCCTGCTGTGGCTCATCTGTTTGCTCTGTTGATTGTTGTCTTGGCTTTACAGAAACTTTTAATTTTTTGTGTCACCATATCTTTCTTAATGGACAGCATAAAATAAACTGGCTGAGATTTCTTCCCTGAGGTAAAAATTGTTGATAACATGGGCATAAAGGCCATGTAGGCAACGTGGCTAACATTGGATAGGAGTACATAGACCTACAGTACTGTATTAAAAAGGATGGATGAGAGCTAGGAATGTAGCTCAGTTGGTATAATGCTGGCCTAGGTGTGGTCCTCATCACCATATAAAATGGGCAAGACATCACAAGCATGTAAGCCAGCACTGAGGAAATGAAGACCAGAATCAGAAGGTCATGTTTGGCCATATGCTGTGTTCAAGGCCAGCCTAGGCTAAATGAAACCTGGTCTCAAAACAAAACAAAACAAAAACATATAATGTGTTGAATAATGTATATTAAGATAGTGACATATGGGGCTAGAGAGATGGCTCAGCATTAAAGGCTAGGCTCACAACCAAAAATATAAAGGTAGTGACATATGAATCACAAGGTACAAGTTAAGTCACTAGAATCTCAGTCTAGGCCCATCTCATTTTCTTATGAACAACTGATCAGACTTAGGGGTTTTGTTTATAAACCCTTTTTTAAGCTTTTGTTAAATTTTAAGTGGAAGTTCTTATTAGCCAAGTGGGCGCGCCATATGTAAGGAGTAGGTTTTTTGCCCGCTGCTGGTCTTGTTCTGCCGCCGCGCCAGCCCCAAATAATGCACAAAGACTCTGTATTTGATATAATTCTGTTGGCCAGGTACCAGTTTCTTATTGGCTAGCTCTGTCTTAAGAATTAACCCATTTTTGTTAATTTAAGTACTTTCACGTGGTTTCATCTTACTGGGGAATGGGCAGGCGTTGTGCTCTCCACGGTCTCTCCATCTTCTCTCCTCCCTACTACTTCCTCTAATCCTCCTTGTCTCCTAGTCCTGCTTCCCTATTAGCCAACAGTGCTTTATTCATTAACCAGTATGAGAAATATATTTACAGAGTGACATCTCCCATCAGACATGGGAGAAGAAAGAGAGCTCTCTGACACCTTTCCTTGATAGCACCCCAAATTCTTTTAGGCTAGCATTTACTTTGGTTCTTTGTTAATACTTGTGGGAGAAACACCACTCTGCAGAGTGGAGAAGGGTGTTCCAGTGCTTGCACACAATTCTGTTGCATGTCCCACACAGATTCTGGACCACCCTGCTTCTTGAATTTCATTTATTATCCAGTTCTCACAACACCTCTTAAACATGGAGGGGAAACATTTTAATTTGCAGCTGAATTTCTAGGACGACATTGGGCATAATGCATTTGGAATGGGAACATACTCCAGCTGGGCAGTTCACAGCCTTCGACCAGAGAAGTTAGCTATTGAATGCTGAGGACTTTGTTAATGTCGGAACTGTGCTCTACAGTAACACATGCATATCACCTGGTCTTAACATAGGTCTTCAATGCTGTAGTCTTCAGGAACATAGCAAGTATACTGTGCTAGCTGACATAGTTTGGGGGCCTTTTTGTTTTTATATGTGGTTTTAGATGAATGGCCCAGCTTGCTTTCAAAGTGCACAGTAAGTTAAGTCCATCAAAGCATTTTGCTCAGTGTTTCTGAAGTTGTTAGGGTGCGAGCCTGGGCACTGGCAGCCTTAACAAGCTGACCACCCATCCTCAGTAGGCCAATTAAACAAATAAGTAATAGTGAAAGCAGAGAAAGCAAATTTATTCAGTGTGGTCACATTGAGAGGAAGAACAAAAAGTCCTGTGATTCCCCCCCACACACAACCATCTGAGAAGCCTGAGGAAATAATGGCAATATTTACCCCATGTTGTTTCACTCAACTATTAACAATGCTAGGTGGGAGCTAAAGAGATGGCTCAGTGGTTAAGAGCACATCCTGCTCCTCTAGAAGACCTGAGTTCATCTCCCAACACCAGGATCAGGTGGCTCACACCTGTGGTAACTCTAGCTCCAAGAATGATTCCTCTGGCCTCCAGGGGCACCTGCACTTATCCCACGTAGATACCTACTACACACACACACACACACACACACACACACACACACACACACACACACACACACTTTTTTTTTTTTTAATGTTGGGTTAGCTCCACCTCCAGAATTAAAAGCAGACAGTGAAGCCCAGAGGACTTTGTGGAGCCCTCTCAAGGGAGGCACAGCAGAATCTTGTGAACAGAGACCTCCTTTCTAAGAGCATGGTGTGACTTTGTTGTTTGTGTGGTGATATATTGTTTATGATTTACAAAAGCCACTGGAGATCAACATAGCAAAGCAGTCATACTAGTCACCACAGAAGTCAGGCACACACCTTTAATTCCAGGACTCAGGTAGACTGATTTCTGAGTCCAAGACCACCCTGTGTTACCCGAGAAAGAATCAGAGCTCACACCTTTAATCCCATGATTTGAGAGGTATAAAAGGCAGAGGCACTCAGCATTACTCTCCAGCCGCACTGAGAGGCAGCAGACTGAGGCTTGGTGAGAGCTTGTGGAGACAGGATCAGCCCTTTAGCCTGAAATAGAGGTAAGAGCTAGTGGCTTGGATGCTTTGCTTCTCTTATCTTCAGCTTGAAACTTGAACCCCAATACCTGTCTCTGGGTCTTTTACAGCTTGTTCTAAGATAGGGTCTCTCTATGTAGTCTTGGCACTCATTATGTAGACCAGGCAGACCTTGAACACACAAAGATTCCCTTGCCTCTGCCTCCTTTGTGCTGGAGGTAAAGGTGTATGCCACCATGCTTGGCATCTGCTGTGACCTTTTTATTCTCTAGTGTCATATTTTTTGCCTTTAAGTTGCCTCCCTCTATGACCTGCTTCCATAGAGAATTCCACAGAACCTTGTAACTGAACTGGACAGCCATCTCCACCCCACTGAGTTTCTATAAGGCAGAACCCTACCTAGCACTGGGCAGAAGCAAAAGGAATGCCACTAAAGTCTGAATAATAAACACTGACATTTCCCATTAGAAGGGTTTTTGTTTTTAACATTGTAGGCTAAGAAATCCCAACCATGGGTGCAAAGTTCCATTAAGCAAGTAGAAAACATGAAAGACTTATAGATATAAAAAAGCATATTTTGAAAAGATCTGATTCCACTTATTTCATATGTTAATTTCCTTTTTTTTTTTTTTTAAAACCAGGGCACTGCACTGTAACCCTGCTCAGTAGCTTGGCTTTGCTCAGTCTTAGATGTGAGAGTCAAAGGCTAAGATGGGAGTGGGGGTGGGGCTTTAGGGTGCTTTCAACCTCTTCCTCCTGTCATTCAAGCCATAGGCAGTTTTCATGTTTTCTGCGTTCTCTTCTGTGGTCTCCACTTCTTGGCTTTCCCACATCATGTGTCCAATGTCTTTTCATAACAGCCTGTGGAAGTGATGCCCACTCTGTTCAAC